TCAACGCGCTCGTAGCCACCAAGAAGACGTTATCGCACGTGACCGAGCTGCGCTTGAATGGTGTGTACCAGTCGTCGGTCGCAAAGTTGCTGTCGCTTGTCGATCGACGCCGCTTGACACGCCTCGACGTCACTGCCATGGATGATCTCAGCTTCGTCGTCGAGTGGCTTCCAACGCTGCCGGCCCTCGAGACGCTCTGCTTGGGTCATGGAATGCTGGATCACTTGCCCGCTCCCATCCCACACGATTGCCTCCGCCATGTATCCTTCGACACGTTTTTGATGTCGGCGGAGGAGGTCACTTTGCTTCTGGACTGGACGTGTGGCCTTGTGCGCCTGGAGCATATCTCGTTCCGCAACATCTATTTGGGTGAAGGCCCGCGCGCGTCGATGCAGCGTGCACTGCGCCATTGGTTCAGTCGTGCCAACATCACGTACGTGCGATTGGCATGCTGCGACCTCGACGAGGATGCGGTGGCTGACGTTGCCAGCGCGCTCGGCTCGAGTACCTGGCCGTTGGCGCTGGACCTCGTGCAAAACGATCAACTGGATCTACAAGGAGCGTGCCGTCTCTTGGACGCTCTGGCGCCGCTGGCTACTTGCACGCTACGAGTGACCCTCGTCGCGAAGGATCGCAATGAGATCTTGTCGTATGCGCACCAGCTTCCCATGATAATCGACGACAGCGGCGATGACGAGTACACGTTCTTTAGCGGTGGTCGTGTTTAGTAAAGACGACGTTATCCATACTTGTCGTCATAACCGTATAGTAGCTTTGTAGCTTTGGATCCAACAACCTATCAACTGTTCGGTACAGTGTAGTTTCATCTTGTACGACGCTCGAGTGGGGTCATAGACGATGATTCGATTGACCGGTAGCCAATTTGAAGTGGCATTGCGGGCAAGGGACAAGTGACTATCTAACCTACTGTCTCTTCCTGGCTGCTGTACGACTCGTACCACACCGTCGTCGCGAGTGGCGTGCGGTGGAAAGGTGATGTTGACATTCCCCACCGCCCGTTTGGGAAGGCAGGCGGGTTAGAAAAACACTTGTTGCCGAGTTGCGGAATACTAAACTCGGGACGTTGGGCTCTTCGTGTCGCTCGCTCCCGGCCCCGATTAGTCGAAAATCTGGTCCTCCCGCTACGCAATGAAAATACCACATGTGGCTCCACGACATTCGATACCCAAGGCAACATGGAGTTGATGCAAGAGTCGCGCAGCAAGGGTGTTGGACCCCAGTTGTCGAGCCTGGCATGGCGTGTAAATGAATGAACTGTCGCCCGCCCCTCTGTACTATGTACTAGTGACTACGACGCATGGAACGCTTCTGGCGCGATGATCATCATGATATTCTGTTGTTCGACTCGAACCCGCGCGGAACGCGCTTGGACGCTTGTCATTCGCGCACACTAGCAGGCGAAGAGACGTACCTCGCCACCGGCAGCGTCGTTGTGCCGCGCGCGTTCCTTTGGACCGTTCGCGCGATGTTCCTCCTCGATGAGGGGGCGTGGACCTTGGAATTAACGCCATTTTAATGTGCTTTGACGACGCGGGAATCTACCGAGATCGGACGCGTCGAAACGACTGCGATGCTGTCCAGGAGCAAGCACATGCGAACCCACTCCGCACATCATTTTTTGTTTTTGCTCCTTTTACGCAAATGCAGCGGACAGCGACTCTGCTCGCGCTCGCCGTGCCTTTTATCTCTGGTCACGGCGTCATTTCCAGTCCCATGGCCGAGTTTGCGCCGAATGTCATGCGGACGACCTACGTGGCCATCATCCAAGCTTTCTTACCTGGCAAGTTTGACGACTC